TATAAACTAAGGCTACTTAACTAAGTGTACTCGGCGGCCAACAATTTGAAAATGGGGATTTTCATGGACAGAGAACTGAGTTCCAGGATAAAAAGATCATTAATTCAAACTGGCAATGATCCGCGGGCCACATTTGGCCAGCGGGCTGCCAGTTAATAGCCCTGGTCTAAACCATCTGATTGGCTGCTGTTGTTACTACTGCTGCTACTACCTGTGCTCCCTGATACTGTTTCTTATTTTTGTCCATCATACTTAGATTAGATTTAATCAGATAATTTCATTGTTTACTTTTTCAATTGTTTTTTTCCCTTCTAAATAGGCATAGACATTGTTTAGAGACAGCAACTATTTCATTTTGATGATACTGGAGGCTCCAACAGACTCAATCATACATAAAAATGCCTGGCTCGATAGTGTAGTTGGTTAAAGCTGACATCACAGCGACCAGGTGACAAACTCCTTGTGGTCCGGGTTCACGCCCGGTGGTAGGCATAACCTATCATGGAATCAAGTCCAAAGGGTTGCGATAACCTTATACCGAGCCAAAGGGTTAACAACTCATGGTTTCCAGATACTTTTTAAAAAAATACACAAAAACGGTTATTACAACTTAAAGTTTACATAAACAGTTACTGTTACCAAATAAAGTCACACACAAGTCAATAAAACAGTTATGGGTACCATCTTAAGTCACAACCAAGGAAGAGCCATCAGCTGCAATGTTACATGAAATAACAAGATATACAATAATACACCTTCTTCTTCTGCCTTCATTCCCTAGTAGAGCAAAGGACTTCAACCAACTTACAAGTGGTCTTATCCTTTGCTTTTGCAAAGCTCTTATGTTCTCCCCAGCTTTTTAACTTCACTTCTAGTTATAACACACCAAAAAGAATGTAAAAATACCGGTCATATCTGCATTAGCCATGTGTTGTCAAAGATTCCCATGGGCTTTAATCAAATATGAAGGCGTTTCAAATGAAAGTGATAAAAGTGTGATAGAAATTACAGTAACTAAGCCAGTTTTGTAACTTGTTGAGGATGGCAAGCATACAGCATCATGATGCAGATGAACATGGTGCCATCATAATGACAGCTCAAAAATGTGTGCTCAACTTTTGACATGGACCAAAAAGGAGCAGTGTTGTTATCTGGGTTGTGTGTGTTTTAGAAAACAAGTAAAGGTGTGTTACCCATATAAGGGCACTGGTGAATGAACTTCCAGTACGGCCAGTCAGCTTTTGTATTTTCTATCATGCTTCTAAGATTTTCATTTGAAGGCCCCCCCCCCCCTCCTTCCCACACACAACATATAAGGTTATCCTGAGTGTCCACCAGCATTTAAGGGTCAGAAGAGAAGCAACAACTCAATAACACCTTGAAGCAGTAAACATAACAGAATACGAGAAACACAACTAGTCTTTTTCTTCCTAAAGTTCACCAGCAGTAAACTCTGACAGAAAATTCTAATTAGTTCGTAGCTTTCTGGACTTAGGAATTAAAGGACACATCCCTAATAAGTTGCCTTTTGCAACATACTTGTTTGGGGAAAAGGGGGAAGCACATTGGGTCTTTCTTTCCTCCTTCCAAATGGGGACACTAGATTTATTCCCTAAAAGGGAAATTTAACTAGCAATATGAAAACTGACCATCTCTGTCCATTACTTGACTTGCTTTTCATAAACTAAAGCATTAAATTACGTAAACAAAAAAAAAAACCTCTGTGTGTAAAAGCACATAACATCTAATTCTGCTGTCACCCAAGCATTTAACATCTCATTCTTGGCTCCCAAGCATATAACATCTCATTCTGCTGTCTCCCAAGCATATAACATTTCATTCTGCCGCCCAAGCATATAACATCTCATTCTGCTGTCTCCCAAGCGTATAACATCTCATTCTGCTGTCTCCCAAGCATATAACATTTCATTCTGCTGTCTCCCAAGCATATAACATCTCATTCTGCTGTCTCCCAAGCACATAACATCTCAGTCTGCTGTCTCCCAAGCATATAACATCTCATTCTGCTGTCTCCCAAGCATTTAACATCTCATTTTGCCGTCTCCCAAGCATATACCATCTCATTCTGCTGTCTCCCAAATCAACAAAATGATAAAGAAAATTTATGTGTATTCCTCTGATTCATCACTGCCCCAGTAAAACAGAGTGTACTGCCACCACCGGCTCCAGCTGACGGGCCGTGCTGCTGACGTCACCAGGTCGGGCTAACGATGAATTAATGCAGCGGTTTTCAAACAAGAAATAAACTATTTTTGACAGTGTTGAGGGAATATAATTTAAATTTCAACCATCAAGTATCTACCGTTTTAAAAATAATTTCACAATTTTTAGCAGACTTTTCTTGATTTCTGCCGTGGCACCCCTGGCATACGCTCACAGCACCCAGTTTGAGAACCACTGAGTTAACGCATCCTTAGCCTGACCTGGTGACAGCAGCATGGCCCATCAGATAAAGATGGTCGTGGTACTTCAAAGCTACTCAGCACATACTGTAGACCAGGCATGTCAAAGTGAGGGTCCCCTGAGGGCAGTATGGGTCAAATTTGGTCGTCACGAGAGCCACACACTGCAACTAATTGAAGCCATTTAATAAAAATTGTAGAATATTTCCTTTCCACGAGCTGCTATTGTGCTTGCAAATGGCTGCCAGTTTGAAATGCCCAATGTGGAAAATGTAATAAGAAAGCCTCGGTGTGGGTTTCCAGGTCCCATGGGGTTAGGGGTTAACTCTTTGAGTCCCAAGGAACGCATCATACTTTCCTACCTAGAACCCCAAAAACGTATGATGCGCCGATTTTATGTCTCCCTTCACTATCCCGTGGGCCTGTGATGCTAAACCCTCTGGGAATCAAAGAGTTAAATAGTTTTTACTGTTTTTTTTAAATGCTTTTTAACCAGGATGTCATAAAAGGCAATTATTAAAGGGTTTGCTGAAGTCCGATGTGTTGGGGTCAAAGGTGCCTAGTTAAAACCTGAAAATAACAGGTCAAGCGCCCTCTCAGGGGTTTTGCAGAAGTATCACTGAGGCGAGCAGTTCTCAAATTGTCAAATTAGTAATGTTAAACTTGTTGCAGAGCTGTAAAACACTCATTCAGTACATACACACAACTAATTCCATCATAATCAACAGTGAAAAAGTGTTTAATGTTTACACAATCAGTTTGCAGTTGATTTATGATCATGTAGGATGACAAACTGTGATTTATGCAGAACATCATGGCACATGATGATGATAGTCATGAAACAATCAATACAACTGTAAAATCCTCCACTCATCTACTCATTAACTACCCCCAAGTCACTGGGAGTGACTGCCTTATCTATCCACTGTAGCCTAGTGCTGCTGAATGATGACATTATACAAGGGAGCTTCAAATAAAAAGCTTTACAGAGTGATAGAAATTACAGTACCATGTCAATTTTTTAACATGTCCCTGTCTCGTACCATGTCACTGCCTTGTAGTATAGTTCTGACACATGTCACCGTCTTGTAACCTGTCCCTTTTTTTTTACACGTCACTATTGTTAAGAATGACAGTGGCATCGTTATTGTCATTTCTATAATACGGTTAAAGACAAGAATAAGAAGGAGACAAACACTGTTCTTTGGCCACGTAATGAGAAGAGAGGCATTGGAAACCATCATGACAACTGGAAAGATCAGTGTAAAGAGGGGTAGAGGCAGAGAGATGATGCTGGATGGGCTGAAACGATGGCATGGAGGGATATAATCAAGAGTGTTATTCCAGGCAACCAGGGATCACGATCCTTGGAGATGCCTGAGCGCCTACGTCAACTGACAAGGCACATGATGATGATTACTGTAAAGGTTTTCACTTTAAGCTCCCTCAGAAATTGAATTCAAAACATCACAAATTTAATCCTGTTTAAAAGCTATATATATATATATATATATATATATATATATATATATTTTTTTTTTTTTTTTTTAAAGTTACGTTTTCCTAGAGTAAATCTGAACCGGAAAAAAAAATGCAAACAATTGAATTCAAAATTACTGCCTGGCATATTTAATGTGGAAACATATCTAATTCTATTTGAGTGTGGTAGCACAGGCAGTTCCATTTAAATGTGTTTATATTTCATTTAAAAGAATTCATTTGTTTGCTTCATACAAATTATTACTGCAGCATGCATCCGATGAGCTACAGTGAAATAAGTACGGCAATAAATTATTTAATCTGCTATCTGTGTCTTATTTTTTCCCAGAATTATTTTTTATACTTTTTTCAGATCACAAAGTTGCCCCTAAACATCTGTCGATTACTTGAAAGGCTAGAATAGTGTCAAGGCGTTGTGTTGTCTGCAAATAACCAGAGAAAATAAATGGAAAAGGACACGCGGATATTATATACATCAGACTAATGGAGATGATAGCAACAGTAAAGTTGTAATAATGGAGACAAAATGATACAATAATATGAAATGATAAATAATAATCTAGGTGTATGCTCGTGGACTATTTCTACTTACAACTAGATGCACTAAATGAAATTGATCACGAAAAAGGTCTATAATTTGACAAATGTATATAATTTGTAATATTAAATATAAAGTCACATTGTAATTATTGTAATATAAAATACATAAATGTTGCAGTAGTTAATCACAGGGCCTATGAACCTATCTTTTTTTAAATGTATATCACATATAAAAAAAAGTGTTGGATACTTGTGGAGCTAGTCAAAGTGAAATGGAATTAAATTACTCTTTTCTTACTTTTCTTGATAAAACAAAATCAACTATATCCTGTTTTTTGTATAGTTAATGAACTAAGATCGCTTATGTAGTATTTTTAACACTCCTGCATAACTATGCTGTCACATGTTTAGTGTGTGGGTGTGCTCCTGTATGTATGTCTGTTTCCATGTTTACACTATATGTAAGTAAAATGCTTCTGTTCAACAACAGAGCAGAAGTAAATACAACAGGGGGGAAAAACAAGAACAACACGAGTGTCAAAGCTTTTTGGAATGCACGCTGTTACATCTCTGTCGACCTGCAGGTGTGACTGGTCCTGGGTTGGTTATTTCCCATGGTATTTCAAATTCTCTGTCAAAAAAAAAAATGCATAATTGGACACAGCTGGCAAAGAATAGCACTGTTGTCGATAAAAATATATATGCACACTTATATAGTGTTTTGCATCTTTTCTAGACTTGGTGGTATACAGTGATACCGTAGAAGAAACCATCATTTTTAAAACTGATAGCAGATCATTCAGAAGCAATGGCAAACTACTGAACCTAAAACTGCCTAATAAAACCAAGCAGCCAAACAAATGCTAGTACTAATTCTACAATGTTCTGTAAAGGATATACAGCTAACTTTCTTTAAAAAAATCATACAATTTCCCTCTTTTCTGCGCATACACAAGTTAATGAATGTTTATATCTTTTTACTTTAGAGCAACAAAATATTTTTAACCAGGAAACTATTCCATAATAATAAATAACTATATAATGTGGGCTTTTGCATCTGATTAAAATAATAAAAATGACAAGAGAAAAACATTCAAAGCAGAATTACAACAAACTACAGTAATTTATCAACTTCCTGTACCAAATAATAATTAATGTTCAAGAAAATCGTATATTTCATCACAGAATCTCTGATGCCATCAACCTCTCCATAAATTGTTTATTCACATTCTGAGATTCACTGCCATATATAATTTCATGTTTAATGTAATATTTCAGTACCCTACTTCTAACTATATAACCTAGTATAGATATTTCACACTTTTAAAAAACATGCAACACTGGAACAGCATTATCTGGATTTAAAAAAATAAAAAGGCTACTTACGCTGGAGAGACATAAGGAACAGGCTGACCAAATGCCATTACAGGTATTAAGTCTGTTTTTTCAATATATTTTACTGAAAAGGAAGAAACATGAAACAGATTATTTGTTAAATTATAACATTACTAATTTCAACATCTGAAAATGACTGATGGCTTTTTCTACCAATGTGCTCCAACAGTAGGGCATTAATGTTTTACAATAGATTACAAGTATACACGTTTTAATTTCGCTTTACCAAGCAATTGGTTTTTAGAAGCTTTTTTTTTCTTGGTTTTAAAATTAATAGTAATTCTTTACAGTTTTGCCTTCTGTGACATCGGGTTTATACTAGTATACATTTCACTACCTCTTTACTTAAGCGGTGTCCGTGGCTTAGATGTGAGTCCGTCTCACAATTCCAAAGTACCGCAATCGAAACCCACTAATGGCTGCGTGGATTTTCATCATGGTATAGGGCGTGGCAGGCAGATCCAGCCTAAAATGGGTACCAGGATGTGTGTCCTGTGAAAATAAAGATAGGCTGGCGTAATGCTGACCACATTACTCAACTTGTGCTGATTGGTTTGTAAAAATATGGGCGCTCTTCCCATATACCCAATACGCCTAAAGGCATGAAAAGGGGTCTTTACACCTTTAACGAAGTTTAGAAAGCACAGAAAAACAAACAAAACAAAACAAAGAAAAACCAAACACAGGAACCAAAAGCACTAATTCTATAATATGCCAAGAAAGTCAACAAATACTAAACAGGATATATTTCTGATAAAGAACTCACTATCATGAACTGAGGGTAAAAATGTTTCCACATCAGCTTCATCCTGACTGGCTCTAATTTCATCTTCTCTTTGTCTCTGCAACTTCTCTGATAAACGCAACTCCCGAAGTCTCTGAAGATCCCACCTGCAGAAACATTTTAAGGCATATACTGTCAACATACATGTGACTTAAATGGTTAGTTTACAAACAATACATTACACAATTCTTTTTGCATAAAATAAGCAACCTAGTGTTGTGCAAACAAACAGAATATGTTGTGAATTTGAAACTTCCGTGGTAATCACAAAACTTGACGTTTTGTTGATGAGATGTAACTAGACATTGTGATCTGTGTATTTTAGGTTGATGTAACTGTATTTATGCACCAGAGAAGATGGAGCAAAATATGATAGGCAACAAATTGTACTATTTATTATTTATGTCTCTATTCTTTGCATTTACAAGGACTGTCAGGAGACGGTGATAGACTCCCATGTGTCAGAATATGGATAATAAGTCTGAGTACTGTTGAACAGTTCTACAACTAGGGAGGTATTGGGGATCATGGCTCCCAGGTCAGATGTTGTTGCTAGGGATGTCTTAGTCCAGGAAGACAACCACAGATGGCTTACATTCCCAGGATAGGAAGGATAACTCTAAGATATATTGCACAGTTCCCTTCGGTCTTAAAACCTGGTCAAAGCCTATGGCGTCACAACTGTCCTCACTCACAATAAGCATGTTTATGAAAATATCTTTACACTACTACTGTCACTTTCACATGTTCAGACAATCTGAGTTTATACTACTCTCATCTGCACTATCAGGAACTTAATAGTACCTTAACTTTTGTGTTGGCATTACACTAAGAAACATCATTGAAGCCGAATGATTGGGGAAAATGCTGAAAACTCTGAAATTAAAATACTGACAAACATCGCACAACCACAGACTCTCGAAGACCCGCAGAAGAATCGACAAAGAAGAACTAGTGAAGAATCGAAGAAGAACCTCTGAAGAACTGAAGAATAGTCTTGGTCAGGTCTTAATATAGCTGACCACTCTGGGGGCCGTGTGTGGGTGGGTGTTGCACACAAGGCGGTGCTTGATTTGTGCTGAAGTTTTAACATCCTCAGAAGCTTTAGGTGTAAGTGGAGTTTTGGGTATAGTCTGTTTTAGCTAAACTAATCTTGTGTTAGAGCTAAACAAATCTTGACTAACTACAGTCTGTTTTTGACTTGATTAATAGAGGAAAATAAAACACTGTTTAGAATAAACGGACAAGTTAATTTAACACTGTGTACTGTACAAGAAACATAAGTTTTTTAAACATTCATTGATAAGCACATCACTTTCAACAGTGTTTTATGTAGATTCTAATAATTATTTTTATTTTAAAAAAAAAACTTCCCACATGGTGTTTTGGGCGTATGATGAATACATTTAATTTCTGTAAGCACGGAAAAATGCAGGCCTCACTGGAGACAGACGTGTAGAAATGATCACGGAAATTAAGGGGACCGAACATCAGTGATATTTCATTCTTTCTATTTAGTGACACATAGTATCAATTATATATGAAGTGACATAAGCTAATATTGTGATTTCAAGTTAACTCTTTTGCTATAAGAAGCAGAAAAAGCAGCACTTCCTGTATGTGTCATGCCCCTGCAAATGCTGATTAAACGACATAGCTATAGTGACTGGTTTACGAGAATCCTCACTAACAGCACTGATTCCGCCTTTACTCGCGCAAATGTTTCATATTTCTGCCATGGCTGTATATACTAAAAATAGCAGCTGTGGGTGTTTTCTTGTGATAAATTGGCTTTATAGTAGAAGTCAGACATCATGATTTCCCCTTAGTCACAGTCGTCTCCAGCGGCTGGGTCACAGGGAACAAAAAATTAGATAAATGAGTCATGGTATTAAATTTATATAACCACAGGAAGATTTAACCCAGTTCATTCTCTGCTGAATTCGTTTTTACCGATTACTGCATTCCATTAGTAAATAATGTTTATGTTCAAAATTGAACATTTGGGAATTTTTCAGAGGAACGGTATAAGATCGTGTTTTTTAAAAGGAAAACCTGAAATTCCAAAACGATGGGTTCTTATCAACGTTTCTCTAGGTCACCATGGTGAAAGGGTTATCTGACACATGGTAATATTCTAGCTGCTAAGCCATACAAGCTGACGGACTTAGGAATCTTCCACTTATTAAAGAACATTTTTTTGAAAATAGTGGATGACACGACACTAAAGTAAGTGAGGATTTTGGGGGGAAAGCAACAAAAAAAAAGATGGAAAATGAATTAAAACAAACCTCTTCCGTCTTTTCTCTTCAAGTTCATACTTCTGGTGCCTCTTGAAATAGGCTTCATCTGTAATATTCTGGATGGGAGAATATTTATAAATGTTTATGTGTAGAATAACTAAAAAAAATTACTAATAAACTACAAACATTCATTAACTGGTGCCTGTGGGGAATAGAGGGAATTAAATGTTGTGACAGAATCACTAATGTGGAGCTTTGGGAGAGACCTAAACAAATTCCAGTGAATCATGAGGTGAAGTAAATATGCTGGCATTGGATAGGACACATACTAAAAAAAACTAGGAAAATTACAATTAGAATGTCTTAACACTGGAACCCACAGAGGCATAGAAAGAAAGGCAGCCCCCCCCCCCCCCCCCCCCCCCCTCCCCACAAAGGAAAAAAACACAGGGAAAAGTGAGCTACAGGGTGAAATTAAAAAGATGGAGAGGACATGGGGTGAGCGGCACACGACTGGAGAGGATAAGGCTTCACTAAGGATGAATTGATTGAGAGCCTATGCTCTACCGGAAAATAAAGTGCTGAAGAAAAAAGTACATGCAATGACATATACACTGCACATACTTTGTATTAATTAGGTATATATATTTTGAACTATTCTTATTCTTCTCTTCTCTTCCTCTCTTGTACTACTTCTTAGCTTCAGGTTGAGAAATAAAATTTTCTTCTTCACAAAATTTCAGATGTCAACTTGAATATGCTTAACCCTTTTGTTCTGGGAAAGCTGGTTTTCCAGCTTTTACAGGTTTTTGATGACTAGAACAACTCTATAATGGTTCTGATACTGGTATCACAAATCATAAATGCAATCTTGTTACCAACACTGTGTTACCAATGCCAAACCTGGGCATTAATAAAAGAACAAGAGCAGAAACTGACAACATGAGAAATAAGATGTTTAAGAAAAGCAGTCAACACAACAAGAAGAGACCACAAAAGAAACTTAGATATTATAAGAATGGTGGAAAGAACATTACTGTAATTAGATTTATTGGAAAAAGAAGACCAATATGGTTTGGCCACCTGGTCAGAATCAACCTAGCATCACCGGTTGCCAGAGCATACAACATGAGAATCAAAACATCAAGAGGCAGAGGATGGCCAAGAAGACAATGGATAGATGGAGCTAACAAACTTGCTGAAACCCAACAAAATATCGCACAGCAGCAAGCTAACGAGCTTGCAATATCCTGGAAACTGATCATTAGTGGTGCTGCGATATCTAGCAGCATTTAGCAGAGAAAGACAACCGATAGAAACTGGTGGCAGCTGCACAGTGTGTAGACGTAGTGGGTATGATTATACAAAAGTCAATAAGTAAGACACACATAGCTGTTTAAAAAAAAAAATAAAGATGATAACTTGAAAACTTTATTTTTTCAACATAATATCCATCAACACTGATGCCCCTGTCCCATCGTTTTATCAGTCCTCCCAAACCTGCTGCATAAAACTGCATACTCTGTCTTCTAAACATTTTCACTTCACATTCAACTTCTGCGTCATCAGCAAAATGTCTCCCGCTAAAATGGGTTTTTGGTGAACCAAAAATTGCAATGGATCATGCATTATGTTGTATGCTGAACCATGCCAGCACCCTACTGCAGCTGCTACAGAGTCAACAGTTACTTGCCTGTCACCTCTAATCATCGCCTCCACCCGCTGCATGGATGCGTTTGTTGCAATCTCAACAGGACAACCAGAACGGACTTCATCAACAATATTAAAGCGCCCATGCAAAATATTTTTGCCCAGTTATGCACCACTTTATGGGATAAACATTCTGTCAGCATAAAACAAGAAGCATCTGCTTATGAATGTCCTTTGAAAGCAGCCCGTTTGCCCCCCTCCCCCTAAACACACAACAGCACATTGTTCTTTGAGGATTCACTCAGTAAGTACAGCTGCCATTTAGTTTCTGTGTTGTGAAAATATGGGGGGGGGGGGGGGGGGGGGGGTGACTGCAGTCACATACAAGAAATTCTAAAGAAATTTTACTAAAAAGCTCAACAAAATGGGGAAGCAGAAAAATGTGCACAAAACAACACAAATAACGTAACGTTTCGGCCGGGCAGCCTTTGTCAAACTACACAAAAATAACAACGAGGAGAGGAGAGTATACATATCTCTAAGGGGTGACGTGAGCAACGTTTAAAAGAAAATGTGATGTGGAATAAATGAAATAAAATAAAATAAACGATGGCTAAAAAAACAGTCGCAAAATGTTGAAGGTATGTTGGATATTGATACCGCCTGGACTTAAGAACGCCAAGGCTGTGGATGAGGCGATTTTAGTCCAGGTGGCATCAATGATACCAAAAGATAAACAAAATCAATCAAGAATATCACTGCACTCAGAACATTCCCATAGGTGCTCCTTCTCCTTCCTCAGTAGCCAACGAAATTTCAACATGCTATGATGACTGGCACCTTTCCGTCTTTCCAGACGATAGTGTTATATTGCGCTATGAGGAGGTATGAGACTCACAGCCAGTGGCGATGGCGAGTGTGACTAGCAAGACCTGCCCGTGTCTAGAAAAGTCTTCCACAATGATAGCATGGGATTTCAGGACCATTGTTGTCAACATATGTGTTTAATCTGTTTCTTTTCAGACGCTCAGCTCTCATCCTTTCTGCAATCATTTCTTCCTTCACTCTCATTCCCTTCCTGATATGCCCTTTGCACACAACACGGTCCATGGCATTTTGTTCCCATATGTCCACCTCAATACCTGTATCATTCATGTCCCGCTTTCAACATGCTAATAGTGCCAGTTAAAACCTGATTAACAGTCCACTTCAATATTGAATATCTTCTGAAAACTAATCACCCCCCCCCCCCCCTTTTCCGCTAAATTAGTCCAATAAGATTAATACATCTCTTATTTTAATCCCTGTATGGTACAATGGTCCTCGATTATTCCACGCCAAAGTTCTATATCTTTTGCGATCATATGCATCTAACTCTGTTCTCTCTCCATTGCATTTATCTGTCTCTCATTATCTCACTTTATTTTTCTGGTCCTGTGGGTAAAACCTGTAGGTTCTAGTGCGAAACCTGTAGGTTCCAGTGTAAAACCTGTAGGTCCTAGTGTAAAAGGGACAAGCTGATATGTTAAGAATAAACTACCAAATGTTTACTAAAGCAAAAGAGTTTACTCACCTCTGTGCCTTCTAACTGATACATATTTGTCATAGGTCTCAGTCGCCAGGATGGAGTTTCCACTGTGCGAGAAAATAAATACAGATGATTTAAGATACCCCTCATGTGGGTTCCTGGCCTCACTGTGGGGAAAACAAGAACAGACCCACTGCCTTCCCAACAAGCCCAACAGGGAGTCCACTAATGGGGGCATCTTTCAAAATCGAAGGGCATCTGTCCCCACAACAACGAACAACCAACTGCACATAAATAAGCCAGTAAAATGGATGCACATGCAAAACTCAGGCCTTGGCACAAAGCCAAAATCCAAAGAGACAAACAACCAAGAATTTACGCCAGAGTTTTCCATCGGTGAACAAATAAGAAGATATCATAAAGATATAAATAAATCCCAAGGTTTCTGTTTCTCTTCCCATCTCCAATGCCCTTTACTACCTTGGATAATAATGGAGAAGTCACAAGGAATAGTGGTGAGTTCAATATCTCGAGCCTCATGTGGGGGTGGAGAAGGGATTGGACCCCCAACAAGGATGTCGTAATAGGCTAATAACACTGGATGACAAGAACCCTGAAACTGACAATCTAATTTTGGGGTGCTAAGCATAAAAATGGCACTAAAATTTACTGACTGGCTCATGTTTACAAGATTCAGAGATGGTCATGTATAAACTACTCAACCTTCATATAATACAAATGATAGCATTTCGAAGATATCTTTTCTTGCCTCACCAGACTATTGGCTAGATATTGACTTGGCTGTCTCGAGATACAAAGATAAGTGATATTATGTATTTGTGTAGTAGTGTCTAATTCACGTATGTGCTAAAGAAGGCTCCATAGCCGCAACATTTATGTTTTGTTTGTTATATTGTGAAGCTCGCTGATATACTTTTCATTTGGTTGTATATCTTTCCCATCTTTTCAACTGCATCACTCAAATTATAAACATCAGTCTAGGGAAGTACCATTAACTTAAAGTTTTATACTCAATAAATGGCAAATCCCCAAGTTTGAACAATTTTATCCATGCAGCTTTTAATCTAGAGTAGGGATGCCTCAAAAGTGTGTAAAAGTGTAGACAACATTTGTTATATTTGTGAGGAAGTGACATTATCAAACCAGAAAAAGGCCATCACAGTATCATTTTAAAAAGAGGTGTACGACTATTTTTTCAGATGCAAGATCGAGAATAAGGTATGTACCCTTCACAAATGCTGCAGTACCTGCATAAGAAAACTTTTAAAGTGGATGAAAGTGGAAAATGTATCAATGTCGTCTGCAGTTCCTGTTGGTTGAAGAGAGAGCCCAGCAATCATGTAAATGACTTCTATTTCTGCAGTTTAGGAGGATTTAAAAAAAAGAAAAATACACACACATAAGAAATGGACTATAGTGTATTCAAATATATACATTCTGCTCTCTGATCAGTTTCACATGGTGAAGGACTTTCCATTCCTGAACCTCCAAAAGACGTTTCCATGGAAAAGTTTGCCTCTGAGAAAGAAGAACCAATAACAGCTGCTCCACAAACTTCATCCTCTTGTGATGATCCACTCATCTGGCCCAGTGCGTCGTCCATGCAACATATTCTTACCCAAGATGAAGTGAATGATTCTGTGCGCAATCAGGAGCTGTCTAAGGCCAAAGCGGATTACTTAGATCAAGACTCAAACAATGGAATCTTATCAAGGAAAAATGTCAAAATAACTTCTTTTTTTCAACACTCGCTATTATCAGTTTCACACTCTTGGCAATATATCTTTAAAGATCTACTTTCTCCACTTCCACCTAAATTTCCTCCCCAATAACTGTGGCATGGTTAGTAATGAGCATGGCACCCATTTGTACAAAGACACTGCTACAATAGAGAGACAATACTAAGGATTCACGACAATTTACACCCAGGTGATCTGATTATCAGTGCTGAGAGGAAAGAGAAGTGCCTGGGGGTTCGTAGCGAAAGCCAATGGAAAATCTTTAGTGCAAGACAGCCTAGCATACGACATCACAACATCTAGCATGAGAATGGACTTGCAGGCGGTAACTGCCTGCACGTCAAGAGAGAACAAGATGCATACACATGCCGTAATTGTAACAGACTCTGAAAGCATGCTGAGAAAGGCGAAGACAGGGATGCTTAGAGCAGAGTGGCAAACTTCACTGGGAAGGTCACGGGTAGTAAACATACTTTGGATATTTTCTCCAGGTCATGCAGTAGTAGTGGGTAATAAACAGGCAAATAAACAGGCAGACAGACTGGCTGGATCTGCACCACTGGGTGGTGAACTGATACATGACAAGGCAGATATGGTCAAGGCCTTTTGCAAACAAGCAACAGAATCAGGAGAAAAACAAGAATATTATGGCCCGGAGAGAACGAGGCCCCTGGGTGTAACCAGAGGGTCTGACCGGCTCACTACACTCAGAGGATAGGCAAGACGGACATATAACCAGATTGTGACCGGTACCATCAGTGTTGGAACTCTGCGCTGGCTGCTGAAGATGTAGACAGAGCACACATAGGAATGCGCCGAGTGCTGCGATGTCAATTCTTGACTCAACTCAACAACTAAGGAAACTGAAACACTTCCATGCTGGCTGTCTACCATCAGACACCCATCAGAGATGATCCTGATCAGCCAGCTATACAGATGTCAGGCAAATTAACACAGGAATCAGAACCTTCTTCACACTAGTGGCGCAAAAAGCATATGATACTAGACATAATTTTGATATACTGATCTCCCCACGTGGGTTCCTAAGCTCCATTTTAAAGAACAAAGAACAGACGCCTGCCCCTTAACAAAAAAGCCTGATTGACCCTAACCCTAACCATAGGAGGTGGGGGAAGGGGTTGTGTTTCTTTCAAAGTCGTCAGAGTGCATCTGCTCGTCAGGCAAGGAATGAAGAGTCTGCATACAAAGAGGCCAGATCAGTAAAACGGATGTGCGCCAAAACTCAAGTTCGGGATCAAGATTAAAGCCCATTAGAGGACGAATAACCAGAACTTTCCGCCACAGTTAAAGCCGATGAATGCTAAGAATAGCATATACTAATCAGCCCTTGATGGGTGAAGTGGTTAACACCACGCTGGCCACCTTTACTTCCAAGGACTCTATCTGTTACCCATTTTCTGCTGGGCCAACCCAGAAGCGAAAGTCATTCTTTTTTTTTAAATCCAGGTTCAGCGAGGATTTCGACACACAATGAACCTGAGTGCGACAGTAGCATGTCTCGCCGCTACATCACAGCTGCTTCCAAAGTTCCACATTAGGACAGAAACACACAAGACATAAACTAGTTAGTTACCATCTGATTGTTCTTGTAAGATTTTTGGATCAGGGCTGGGGCAAAAAGTTTTTGGATAGTACAGGTGATATAAAGTTTCTGTTTGCATGGTTGGGTAATCTATTGTTCTTTCTTCTTGTTCCAAGTGAGTTTCAGGTTGATCACTTGCTTCTTCTTGATTTCCTGAGTTTTCAATGTCGCTTTGATTGCCCTCTTCTTCCGCTAAACCAGATTCTGTGGAAGATTCCTCTTCCTTCTCTTCATTTTCACTTTCTTCCTTGTCTGACTCTGCTACAGAATTTTGTTGCTTTGCTAATTTTTGCCTTTTGTAAGGATGTTTTCTTTGCGAGATACTTTGTTTGTAACCTCGCCTTGGAAACTTCTTCAGTTCTGTAATTGTTGCATCACTTGACCTGAAAATTTAAAAAAAAATTGGTTGCTGTAAATTAATTTGACCAGATCAATTTTTAGCTCATATTTTACCACACACAAACCAAAGCTCTGCATAAAATCAAAAGCATATAAATATATTTACATTTTGTCCTAGCACTAAAAAGTTAAAAAAAAAATATTTAAAGTCGGCATGTGTGAACCAGTGTCACTGCACAAGGTTATAGATTATAAGTGCTCTGCATCCAGTACGGACAGCTGATAAGAAACTGCCCGCCTGTGTCACCGACCACATGCAACTTCATAGCTAGAGCAACGTTTCTCCATTTACCCCAGAGTGTTAACTCTGGTACCCATTACCTATAGGTTGGGTAAACCCCAGGAACAGTCCAGTTCCAAACACCGGCTATGAGCTGCAGCAAGTTGCAGTTGGATTTTAAAGCGAGTCTCATTTTAACTGCGCTAATGCAGCCCTCATTATTATTTCAACATATGTGAATGTCATTCTTGCCTAACTGCACCGAATCCTTATCAGTCATGGGTACTCCAAAATACAATAACTTGGTGTATGTTCACTTCTATTCAGTGATAACTTCTAACTTGGCATATGACATTTATATGGAACATGACCAGCATGCTAAAATTTGTATGAGCCAAAATTACTCATGACACAGCCTGTTCTCTTTGTTTACCCTGCTCAAGACAAGCTACCAAAGTTGAGGAAAGGCTTGGCAGTATGTTAAGCTTCAAAGTTATTTTTGCTTCCGACATCGCTTTGCTAATGCAGTTTCCACATAAGGACGGTAGGCTATGGTTTCGGCTACCTGAGCTACTAAATTTAGTGATTGGCTGCAGCCCTATGAGCTGTGTTTTTCCTGTGGAATGCATTTGTGCAGGGGCTGTGTTGTGGTGATCAATATGGCCGGTAGCCGTTTAAACGCGTGAGCTGGAGAAATACCTTGTGTAATAATTATACATATGTACAGTAAGCAGCTTATCGTGCCCGACTACTTTAATCAAAGACAAACTGCATTTCTGGTAACGATTATTGGCTTTGGTGCCTTTAGCAACTGAAATACGCATTTTCTGCGTGCACAAATTACAGGATTGTTCTGGGACTAGTTGTTTGTTTACCAGTTTTTCAAATGTGACAGTGAGGGACATTTCATTTGATTTGCACTGGCAAAGAAACAGACCAAGTAGGGGGAAACCTGACCGAGGTGATGTTGAAACCTGGACTAAGACAAAGCTACAGACAGAAGTCAAAGACTCTCTAGAAAAGTTTCACCCCAACAGGACCCAAGCGAGCTGTAATAGCATGCTGCTGAATGACCCGAAATGTCAATTTCCCAAAACATCCTGAGGAGAAGGCATAAGCAAAGTTCTTTGGACAGATTTGTTTTTTTTTTTTAAAGTAAAACCTGATGAGCTTAAACCAGGTCCAATAAGCAGAAAGAGACAGAAAAAAAAAAAACAGCTGTGTATAAATTTTTTTATACGAAGTGACCGATGTATAATATGCCAAAAACAACAGGATGTTTTTTCCATGGAAACAGATGAACCAGTCTCCCTTTGCTTATGGAAAAATTTGTATAGTATACGTCCTGTTTGGTATTATGTTCAAGGATCAGGATTGAATTAAGTATGTATATGGAGGTACCACTTATCTGTTTTCAAACTTGCTGCAATCTGTCAATTAAATCAGTGGTGGCCAACCTCTTTGGCTTTAAGGTTTATTTTTCTTTCAGAAATCATTGGTGATCTTCTTTAAAGAGACTACAGGCTAGGGCTACTCAACTAAGTTTACTCAAGGGTCAAAATGTTGAAACTGGGGATTATCATGGGTCAGAGGCCCGAGTCTCAGCTCAGAAAGGTCATTAATACAATACAACTAACAATGATCTGTTCGCCACTTGCTAGGCATCTGTCGGCCGCCAGTTGAATATTGGAATTATGAAGCGGGTTTGGAATGCTTCAGCCACAGGGGCTGATTTCAAAATAATACATATCATCATTAAATAAATATTATAATTAACTGCCCTGCTTCATTAACTCCTTCAGTCCCAGATGATTTTTATGCTCAGCTGGTAAGCAAAAATTCACTGCAATACATGAACGCACTGATTTCAACAGGTCTAAACACAGATAGGAAGTGTGAAAAGCAGATTTCTAAAACAAGATGTGACGAAAACTAAAAAGCTATGCGATAGTTGAAGTTCAGATTGAAGAACAACTACACATCATGCATTTCTTAGGATTAAAAGCGTTAAGAATTTAGAATGTTACAATTTGAACAACATTGCAAAATGTTATATTTACCCTTTCTGCTGCACTATCAATGAAGGTGTGGCTGCCTTTGCCACAGTTTCTAACAATGTTGCTCCTGAATAATCCCTCATCTCTTCTTTGTGCTTTAAAATTGACATTCGCCGCTCCATCCGTTCTAGTCGACATTGTAGCTACAACACAACATAGTTAACAAAGGTTCATTATTTAAATCTACACTAAGAAAATCATTACATGTTAAAGAATCACTTCTTTCTCTTCTACTCCATAACTCAGCCCTGTAGGTCAGGGCCATTCAACTAAATTGACTCAGGGTCCAAAATGTGGGCCTAGGCCTCAGCATAGAAGGCTCATTAGTAAAATACAACTGACAGATGATCCACCTGCTAGGCCTGCAGCTGAATAGCTCTGATATAGGTCATCGGAATACTAGGTCAAAAGGGTTTATTGTCAAATTCTCCAATTTATATTATCTTCAGCAGCACATGGAAAAAATAAGGGTCATCCCTTCCGCACCCACCCACAATTAGAAAACACTGGCAGACCCCCAAAACAAGTCTCCTCACCACCTTACAAACTTTCTAGCCAAATAACGGTGTATATGTTGGCTGGGGGAGGGAGGAGCTCAGGTCCTTGAGTGCCCCCCCCCACCCAATAATTCTGTATTTAGGGCTACGATGTCCTGTTTAACGATGTATGGACATTATTTTTAATGCATTTGTTCATGCATTTCATATAATTTCAAGTATTTTAATATATTTATATGATATTCTTATTATTACAATATTATCACCATCGTGGTGCATGTAAATATAATTATATACTTGAAATAAGATTAAATGTATAAGCAATTATCTTTAAAGAAAAATATTATACACTGGTAGTCGGAAAGGGGAGGGTGGGCGCGAAGATTTTATAAATTATTGAGAGGAAGATTGGGAGTAAGCACTCTTCCCCCCCCCCCCCCCATTTTTCCCACATGAAACCTGAACTCTCAGGTTTGGGCAACAAATCACCCCCCCCCCCCCCTTTCCCCGAGCATCCTGGCCTTTCAGATTCCAACTCTCTACCTTGTTTCTAGTGGAGCAACATTTATGTTTTCTTGATAACAGGAAGAACTGTCTGGATATTATTTTAGGTTAGGCAAAATCAGACACCACTGTCCTATCTTTTTATTCTAACTGCAGTCACAGGAAGTTTGTTGGATAGATGATTAAACAAAAAGCACCTCCAAAAAAAAAGAGCTTAAGCCATTTTTTGCAAGGGGGGGGGGGGGGGGGAGGGGGGGGGGGGGGGGAATCAAGCCCACTTAAAAAAAATGGGGGGGGGGGTGAATGCGCTCAAGGAACCTGGGCTCCCCGGTTCCTGCGCCTATGGTGGGGTTATATATTTACTTTTTACATATTTACTAGATGGAAAATGAGACAATTTAAAGAATATTTATGAATAAATGCTGTCAGAAGACTTAGAGGCATTAATGTATGTAAGAATATATGAACAGGTAATTAGGTGCGGATCCGACAAGGAAGGACCTATGAGAGGAAGACAATGATGTGTGTAATCAGTGTGCTACGGGAAAAGTTAGCATCTACTTCTTAACCCTCTGGACATTTATCAGCCTACACAAAACAACCAAAAAGACAAAACTGATTGGCCGGCCCGATATAATACAAGCCTTCAGATTGGCTGGCCGGTTTTTTACCAGCCAATCAGATTGCTTCTCACATCTCTTGCACATGTAAGCTCTTCAATGACAGCTTTTGAGAAAGTTTGATGCGTTCTGTAATTTTACATCGATTTGTTTTGGTGGGATTACCTGTGCGCAACAATGATGAAAAGGACTGTTGTGTCACAGCAACCGAAACAGACCAGGAGGCAGAAAAAAGAGTAGAATCATGCGCCAGAAGTGTCTAAAGGGCCTCCATGGGCCTAAATTCCCAAACCATAAGTGTTAGGACTTATTCAGGCTTCATCCATTGAAAAATGCACCCAAATTTGTTATGTTAGTCATGTTTTCTCCCAAGGGGGAAAAATGCTTGCATAAATTATGCAAATAAGAATAGTTTAATATGAACAAATGTTGAGATTTCAGTTTGATTTATAAATATTCTGTTAGCTCATTCAATTTCCTTTATGAATGTATATAGTTCAGTATATGTTAATAGAACACTTTACTTTTTTTATAATTTTTCTGTGTGTAAATTAAGAAAATCTAACAGGTTAAAATAATTCACAAATCATGAGATGCCCAATATAATTACCTGTGCAAACATGTATCTTCCTATGCCAAATATCACCTTCATTGTGAAGTTCTAAACTGGGTAAAACAGTAATTTATTCACTCCACAGAAAAGGAAGATCACAATTTCAGATACACACACCAAGTTTCCAAAGTTCAGAACTGTGTCCTAACATTAAATCACTAATTGCAATAATGTCTCAGGCCTGTCAATATTCTTATAAAAATTAGTATGATCATGTGAACATAATAAATCAGTGCATAACTATCACTTAATATGGACAGAATATATTGATATTACACACACATATACATATATATCTATAGGCACTCCTTGCAACAGTGACCCTAGGTGTTTACGGCGACAATTCATTGTTTGTGCATGTGCACACAATAATAATATTCTTTCATACCGAATATTGTTTAAGGTTAGGATAAGGGTCTGGGTTAAGGCTAGCCCTAACCTCGAACAATATTAAAAATGACAGAATATTGGCTGCCTTCCGAATAACGGTCCCAAATTATCGAGGCAGAAGATATACCCTAACAGAGCCTCAGTCACGTGTCAGTTGCGCACTTCCGCCACGAGTATTGAGTATCTCCCACGCCGCATGGATTGGGGCTAAACTAGATGGCTTGGACTCACGAGCAGCAGCTACCGCATTTCCTGCAGCTGCCTTGATTTTATTTGCTTGTGATTGTGAGACAGCCATCTAGTTAAGCCCCAATCCATGCTGCGTGAGCAGCGTGGGGATACTCTAGGCGGTGGCGGTATAGTCCCCGGAAGGTCGCAATTCGGCGGTGGCAGTATAGTCCCCGGAAGTGCGAAACTGACATGTGACTGAGGCCCTGTTAGGGTATATTTTCTGCCTCGATAAATTGGGACCGTTATTCGGAAGATAGCTAGAATATTAATATTATTATCATGTAAACTTACACAAAGAATGAATTACTTCATCGGGGTCGGTGCTTAAGAGTTAAGTAACGTTAACTTACAAAAGATTACATGCTCTAGGGTCGCCGTTGCAAGAAGTGCATATATATATATATATATATATTTATATATATATATATATTTGCTTTTTAGCTGCTAAACTAATTGGTAACATGATACAAACACAAACAAATAAGTTTTCGGCTTTCTATGGATGAAAGATGCATTTACTATTTCAGTATCAACTTTGTCTTTATCAAGCAACTCATTTTATGTTCATTTTACTGTTGTGCTCTTTTTTAAGTGTTTGTTGTGCTTTACTATAACCAGTTGGTACACTAATTCAACTTATTCTCATTTGACTTTAATTTATCTGTTATCCTTTGACTCTGTCATATTTTAGAGAAAACAACAGACAGATTATCAGGTCGTCGGTTGTGACATAATCTAGTTATCTAGCCCACTAGCCACAGCATAATAATAAATGATCAAGTCTTGTTTTTTGGGAGCATACTTATACTAAAATAACTATTACTATTATATTATAATAATAATTTAAAGTGTTTTAAATAATGTTTTCTAATTAATCTGTCACATTAATTTAATTCTTCTCCCTTACAAATTACACTTTATACTTACAGAACTCCCTCAAGTTACTGATATTCTTCTTATTATTATTGTACTTTTCTGAGCAGACCACGACATACCAGTACTGTACTGTATTTATCTTATTTTATGGTCATTAATTTTAAATGTCCTTTTTTTAGCCATGCACAACACGGTAGTAAACTGAACACTAAATTAATACGCCATCAACCTAGTGCGACAAAGAGAAAGGCTCCCGGTTACCGGCCTACTGCCTACCGGTGCAGAAATTAAATCCGATTAATGAGCAGCTAATCAACTGAGAAAAAAAAAAGACGATATCAAATACTGAGAGGTGCAAACTCTAGGTTTAGCGCCCTTTAACAGCCTGTGTGGAATGGCTCAGTAGAATGCAACATATAATAAATCATTAACGGTAAACATGACACTTATTGTAAAAGATGTTGAATAAACATGGCTACAAGCTGGTCCCCTGTTAACTAACATTTTGACAAAAATGGTGGCGGCGTTCGCACATGACACGTCACGTGACTTTCCCAAAATAACATGGTCTCTAGACGGCAGAAAATGTTTAAATTTTAACCCACACATGAGAATTCAACTTACTGCATCTCTCGCCGACATCAGAGCCTTGATTTCTCTGTCCTTCTCCATAATTTCATTCTGCTGGCACTGAATGAATTCTGCCTGGCTCATCAGTAAATCTTTTAAGCGACCCATTTCCTCACCTGCCCAACAATTCGACGAAGCCATTGCCGCGGATGATGATGGGGAATGAACCGCTTTGTTGGTAACCTGTGACTGTTCGCTTTTTGAGCATGCATCTGAAGACGAATCGCATCTGTTTTCGCTGTCTTTCACCTTTGGGCCATTACTCTCACAATATCCATTTTCCTTTAGCTCATCTTCTTTCTCTTGTTGGGCATATTTCAAACTTTCTTGAATGGCCAGCGACAACTCCATTTCAAAATCTCCAACGCCATTGAGAAGATGCGACTTTACAGCGACTCTCCTCCTTGGAAACAGTCTGCCTTCTGGTCGACACTTTGGTTCCTGAGCAATGCTGGATTTCATTATTCCTAGTGTCAGTGATAATTTGATTATATTTGAAATAACAACTAAAATATCACATAAAACTGCATTCCGAAGAAAAGACTTGAACTCTTCCACTGCTGCTATTATTATTATTCTCGACACTATTTGATCACTCAACGCTGAAGAGCTCGTAAATGCTTTCTCAATCCCACACACGCATCTGCCTCACTACATATGTTACCTACCATCTGCACATGTTAATTGTTTCATCGTGGTCGAAACAGTTAAATACTCCTGGGCGCTGGCAGTAAATTAGAATCAGTGTTAAACTGTAATATGTTCTTAAAATGAAAATGTTTATAGCATAGTATAATTTTAAATTAATATAGTATTGTTAAATGTTACAGACAGGTTCTAAGAATATCTTGGGTAAAGAAAAGAACAAATGCATCCATACTTCAAAGAGCTGAATATTGGAGGGTTGCTGTAAAGACAATAAATTGAAATATTTTTGGTCAAAACGTCATGGAGGTCTAGAGAGAACAATAATGGAGGGGTATATGCCTGGGAAGAGAGGAAGAGGAAGGCCAAGGAGAAGATGGGTGCAGGATGTGGCAGATGATCTCCAATGGTTGTATCAGACGCAGGACATATGATAGGAAGGTTTCCGGAGGGTTGTTATGGCAGCGAGGTTAGGGACATGCTACTAATGAATATGAATAGTATTGTTATTCAGCACGCGTGGCCGTTTTTTTTTTTTTTTTTTTTTTTGGGGGGGGGGGGGGGGGGGGTTAGTTTTAATACTATGGCCTGAGTCAAAAGTAAACATTATATTAACCAGCATTCTTCTACAATATATGTGGTGTACTGATAAACATAAATCTCTAAGTCATGTGATCAGTATTAGTTCTCCACCTCAAATGTGTGTATGTGTATATATTAGTGCTGTACGGAGTATTCGCTTCGGGGCCCAGTAGTGGACCTAATAACTATTCGGTATTCGGCCGAACAGTTGCGGTCGGGCCGAATACGAATAGTGGCTACCTTACTCCTGTTTCTGCATACACTGCGATGGACTGAAATAACTCTCTCATTAACACAATAGTTGCTGTTGCCTAAGTCTGTCGTAGCGGGGAAAACTGGGACCCGGTTGCGTGGGACAAACTTAATAAAATGCCAACCGCAGTGTGAGTGTGTTTATGAGTGTGAGAGAGAGATCGTGCATTTTTCGTTCTTTCAGGGTGTCGTCGCCCAAATCAAATTTGAAGATATTGCTAACGAGAATATGAAGGTGCGTTTAAATTACATCGAGCAAACGATGATTTTGAAAGAGGCGGGAGCCCGAAGACAACTAATCACAGACATTAAAATGAGACAGTCGTCATTTTTCAGCCATGTTATGAGAAGTGGGGAAATGGAACATTTGGTGACCACTAGAAAGATCTGTGGAAGGAGGGATAGAGGAAGACAACGATAGAAGATTCTTGACAGTCTTGTTGCATAGCATGGAGGTGTGTCAGCACACAAACTGATACATGCTGCAGGAGATAGCAGATTGTGGAGAGGCATGATTGCCTACGCCAGTCGGCAAGACACATGATGCTGATGATACACTATTTGTATTCGTATTCGGCCGAATAGTTGGTCCCACTATTCGTATTCGGTACAGCCCTAGCATATATATATATATATATATATATATATATATATATATATATATATATATATATATATATATATATATATATGCATACACACATGAGCAAATCTTGATAATCTTAGTTTCAGCTTCATAGCAAACATGTCACCCCATAGTTGCTAGGCTCCCGTGCCAACGAAAAGCACACAGAATGTTCATCACAGTTTCTTGTGGAAAGATTGAAAGACTACTGTCTCAGCATATGCACTAGCATAGGTTTCAAATTACTGTCGTGTCAGGGGAACGGGGGTTGAGGAAGAGCTCTTAAAGTCCAACTCCTGGCCTTCTCGTGGGGGAACTGTTTAAACGAACAGGAGAAAAGGTGAGGCGAGTATCTGGCACCGTAAAACGAGAAGGCTCCTCGAGTATGATCACAGTATACCCTAGCAAAAACAGAACAAAACAAAAAGTGCTGAAGTCGGAGGCAACCAGCCAGGAGGCGCACCACAACAACCAGAGAGCCCCGCACACACGCCATGGAAATATGTCCAAAATCAGCAAAACGATAAGGTGGTGCTCGCCCTGTGATTGACTCTCATGCAGGAGCAGTGCCGGGCCCTCAACCTCGAAGAGGCCCAACCCAAATTACTAGAGGTCCTTCTCAAATGTACTGTGCAGCCAGGGGACATGAGAATAGAGCATATGTCCAAGCTAAGAGAAGAGTCAAATTAATGCACTGGAATTCGGAGGGATTACAAATAAAAAGCTAGAGTACGGAAATATTCTAAATAAAGCACATATACATATATGCTGTCTACAAGAAAGCCACCTCACTGAAGACAATCTTCAAAATCAGAGGTTATCAGTGCTTCCGATCAGACCGGAAAGGCAGGAAAAAGGGTGGAATACTGACTCTAGTAAGGAACAATACCACTGCGTGCCAGACTGAAGTATATATGGATGGAGCAGCATATCAGGTTCTGAAACTACAAGCTCGTAGTGCAGACTTCCACCTGATCAATTTTTAGACACAATCCGAATTGTAGAAAAAATGAATATATCAGCCACGCACAAAGCCGGGGACACGACCACATATACCAGAGAGGAGAGAAACTGGAGGAGTGGCAAGATGAGAACAGACTTGTTTTGATTAATAGGCCAACTGATCCACCCACGTTCTACTCGAGATCGTGGCACACCACTACTACCCCAAACCTAGCATTTCATTCTCCAGATCTGGAATGGAACATTACACGAGTTGTTGGAAAACAACTAGGAAGCAGTGACCATCGACCGGCCTTCCTTAATGTAGAAAATGAGAAGGTCAGAGAAACTAGTACTCTGTCAAGGTGGAACTACAAGAAGGCTGACTGGACAATGTTTAAGCACCGTACCAGTATACTGCTGGGAAATTTTAGCATAGAGCAGGATATAAACAAAGTAATAAAGAATTTAACAAATGCAAAATACAGGCAGCAAGAAAATCAATACCAAGAGGTGCACGTTAGCATTATAAACCATAGGCCTACTGGAATAGTGAACTAGACAATTTGCATACCGAGGTGGAAACATCCAGAAAGAAAGCAGAAACCAGGCCAAACTCAGAGCATCACAAAAACTACCAGCATGCAAAAGCCAAATTTCTAATGGCAAAGCTGCAGGCTAGAAGAGAAAGTTGGCAGGAGAAAACAAGGTCCCTGAACTTTGAAAAAGACACAAGAAAGTTATGGAATCTTGTAAAATAAATTAATGATGAGGTCACAGCTTTGGACTCAAAGATCACGCTGCAGAAAGATGGAAACATGGTCACAGGAAAAGAGACAGCTAACCTCTTTGCAGACAATTTTGCTTTAGATAACAAAACTGAAATAAGTTCAGAAAAAAAAAAAAGGGGGGGGGGGGAGATTCAAGAAAAGACACAGTAAGAAGTCAGAATGAAATAACATCAGAGCGCTAAAGGCGCCCGTTACACCTATTGAAGTGGAATTGGCCATTTCAAAACCGAAAATGCGGAAGTCACCAGGAGCAGATGGTATATCTAACGAAATGATCAAAAACCTAGGAACAATAGCAAAACAAAGCTTTTACAGATATTAAATGCTTGCTGGGCAACAGGAAATGTTTAACAGATCTGGAGAGAAGCAATTATGATACCTCTTATAAAGCCTGGCAAAGACAGTTCCAATGCCTCCAACTACAGACCTCAGCAGCTGTCTCTGCAAAACAATAGAGCGCATCACCAACATCAGACTACAGTGGTACATTGAATGTGAAAACATCATTACACGACAGCAAGCAGGCTTTAGAAAGTTTTGCTCTACGGAAGACCAGATAACAAACCTCTCCCAAGAAATAGATGGTGTTTTCAAGGTAAGAAACTGGTACTCGCGGCATGGATAGATTTAAGGAAAGCTTTTGACAAAGTTTGGAAGGAGGAGCTTTTGAAGAAATTGAGAAACTACAAACTGAATTGGAAAATGCACAATTGGATTTAAGCATATATACATAACAGAAAAGCCCGGGTAGAAGTAGATGGTTTCAAAAGCAAAAAAGTTTTACTGCGACAAGGCGTCCCTTAAGGTGGTGTCCTGTCGCCCACACTTTTCCTTTTATTCATCAACGACGTGGTTGCTGAAATACAAATTGAATAAAAACAGCAATGTATGCCGATGGCCTGGTACTGTGGTGCACCAATGAACAGGCAGCGGTAGCCACAAGAACACTACAGTGGGCTACGGATGCACTTGGAGCATAGGCGAATAGATGGTGTGTCAGCATTAACACAGACAAATGTAGCACTATACTCTTCACTCTCTCCCCAAAGCAAAAAGCGGGCGTCATCGTAATAAACGGAATACTCCTAAGATATTATCAAGAGCCCGCGTACCTCGGAGCCACATATGATGACAGGTTGACATGGAGAAAACATATCAACAAGGCAGCAACCAAAGCCAGGAGGAAGACAGCCATACTAAGAAAACTAACAGAAACCACATGGGGAGCCAGTGGAAAAATACTCACTAAACTATAAAAGCAAAGCATACTTGGAATATGGGTCAACTGCATGGTGTTCAGCATCCAGAACCACATTAAAGGAGTTGGACAAAGTGCAAAATCAAGCTCTTAGAGTCGTCACAGGAGGGATGAAATCAACACCGATATTAGAAATAGATAAAGCTGGGAAACACAGGCATTGAGAGGACGCAGAGATACAAAGCTGCAAATACAAGCTGAAAAGTGCCTTTGTATGCCAGATCACCCCATGAAAAATAGATTTCAGAACCTAGTT